GCTTGTTTATCTTCAAGCCTTTAAGACTCCAGACGCTATATCTTGATAGCCGGGTGCCATCAGCTTTCTTCACATTTGCTTATGCACCCATTTGTCTTCAGTGATCTTGTCGGGACCTACTTCTTTCCTCTATTTTGTTTTACTTTCTTCCTATCCTACTATCATGTTCGATCTTCATTTGGCTCTCAGTAATTCCTCTTGACTACATTGCACTTGATCAAACCCCGCTAGGCATTCATGTCCTCCTTACCATTGATTTTAGATCACTTGTTCCCTTGTCCCCTCCCCCTCTCCCCTGTACCTTGGAACCATTGATCCTATTGTTTACTCCTCAGGATTGTAAGCAATCCTGCCTATCTTACTTAGATAAACATTTTTAGAAATTGCCTATACATAGTTCTGCTGACCCTTATGAATGTTTTCTGCTCGGGTCTGATGAGGTGTCAAGCGCTGTCCCCCAGTCAGAAGTCTCAGGATTCCTTGGGGACTTCATTGCTTTGCTCCCCTTGCTGCTCAGTTGCACTCCCTTCCTGTTTCACTCCAGTGGGGGTCGGACTGGGCCCAGTCCCCACATTCTGTCTCCAGTGCTGTAGCGCTGTGAGTCAGTGAGGAGGCGTCGTGCCTCGTGGTGGGGCTGGCCCTACTGTCCACTCTGTGCATTGGCTGCTCAGAGCAGAAATGTTGTCCTCAGGGCTTGGTGGGCCAGGATGTGGTTTGTTCACTCCCTCCCTCCCTCCCTCCTGCCTTCTCCCTCCTTTCCTTTCTCTTTCTCCTCTCTCTTCCCCCCTCCCCCCAGTGGTCTGGGCAGACCCCCCTCTCCCCAGGCTATCTCTTCAGTGCTGTCCTCTGTAGTGCGTCCTTCTGGAGAGCTGGGTCGTCCTTCTGGAGAGCTGGGTCGGGGCCAGCCTGCAGGCCTTTCTGTTAGTTTGTGTTCCCTGCCATAGACCAAACCCTTAGAGCACTTACTTCATCAAGAATTTACTCTCCGAATGGGTATGTTCTAAAATTGCCGAGAGGCATTTCTGATGGTAAAAATATAGTTTCCTAGAGACACAACAGGGAAAAAGAGTAAACATACCTCTATGTTTAGTGGCTATGCAGCTTAAAGATTGTGACAATATATGTAACAAGAGACCAGCCATTAAAAAGTGTAGAGTTTACAGTACTGCTGTGACCACGTGAGAGCACCATGGATGATAATTGACTGATGGCCATTGGTTTGGGGCTAACTCTCACTCTGGGGTGCCAGACCATGAACCGCCAGAACAACCAGTGCTATCTTGGCAGAAGTATAGCCAGAATGCTCCTTGGGAGCGAGAATAGTGAGACTTTGCTTCATGAGCTTTGGACATATTATCAGGAGAGACAGCCCCTGTTGAAAACGTCGTGCTTAGTAAAGTGGAGGGCAGTGAGAAAGAGGAAGACCCTCGATGAGATGGGTTGACACAGTGGCAGCAACAGCGAGTTCAAACATCACAACGATGATGAGGATGGGAAAGGGCCACGCAGTGTTGTGTTGTGTTGTGGGTCTCTGAGTCAGATGGACTTGACGGCACCTAGCATCAGTGTTTGCTCAGCCCACCTTGTGTCTGTGAGACTCCTGCTCGTTGTTTCATACGGCTGAGTTTGCGTATTCTCTCACTCCTTTTCCGCAGCCCTTCTCACTGGGGCTTCTGCCAGAGAATTAAGTTCAAATTCCTAAGGTATCTATTGAATTTAGCTGAATTAACTTCTCTCCTGTGCATCTAAGATGTAATAGCTCGGTACTATCGTTGGGTATTGAAAAACTAGTCATTCAAATTATTTCTGTTGGGCTAATTCTTTCAGAACTCCGAGAAAGAGTGTGTGATCCTTATCCTCCTCCCAGGACTTTTGCCATGTAACATCTATATTTTCCATCTATGTCATCTCATCTGGGCTTTCTAGTTCTCTGGGAGTGCTAGTTTGCTGGAAGCTTTTCCAATTCCACTGGGGATTTGAGCTCCATCATACAAGCTTAAAATATATAGTTGAGCATCTAAGAGAATGAGGGAATGCCCTAAGAGCCAAAAGAGAAAGCAAAGTGGAACGGAAGGGCTTGGGGGAAGGAGTTTAAAATAAAAGAAATAGGGAGCCAGGACTGCTTGGAAGTGTTGCATAAACCTGGACCCTTAGAGCTTTGCATTTTTAACCCAAACAGTGCTGGAACTGAATTCCCCCTTTTCTCAGCCGATAATTGATAACTCAAGAGTAGGCTAGAAAAGAAAATCTTTTTAATGGCAGCAAAGCAAGAATGCTTTAAAAAAAAAAAAAGTGAGACTGCTCCTTTGAAGTGAGGATGGCAAGACTTTGTCTCACATACTTTGGACATGTTATCAGGACAAATCTGTCCTGATAAGGGGCATTTATGAAAAATTCACCGGTAACTCCAGCCTCTGGAGAAAGACATCATTCTTGGTAGAGGGTCAGGGGAAAAGGCCCTTCATGGGCTGACACGGTGGCTGCAACAGTCATTGTGAGAATGGCTCAGGGCTTTTAGGAGTCAGCAGTGACTCCGTGGCACCCACTGTGACCACCACCACCGGCAGTGGGGAAGGAAAACACTTGAGAGCTTTCCGTGGAAATCAGGAACAAGACAAGAATACTCAGTCTCCAAGAACCCCACTGCTACTAAGTATTGTACTGAAGGCCTATCCAGAGCGATTGGGCAAGAAAAAAAGAAATGAAAGGTAGTCATAATGAGCATTCTGGAAAGGACCCCAAGAAAACAATTTTATTTACAATAACAATAAAATGCCTAAGAATAAATTTAACTAGAACGTGAAAGACTCGTACACTGAAAACTATAAAGTATTACTGAAAGACATTAAAGAAGACCTAAATTAATGGTAAGATATTTCATGTTTATAGATTAGAAGACTTAATGTTAAGATATTGATGCTGGCGAAATCCATTTTCAGATTTAACACAGTGCTCACTAAAATTTCAAAAGCCTTGTTTGCAGGAATGGAAAAGCCAGTCCTCAAGCTTACTTGGAACTGCCAGGGACACCAAATAGCCAACACAGTCTTAAGAAAGTAGAATAAAGTAGGAGGATTTACATATCTTGATTTCAAAATGTGTCATAAAGCTCCAGTAATGAAAAACATGTGCTACCGGTATAAGGTTAGCCACAGAGGCTAATGCAGTAGGATTGAGGGCTGAGAAATAAACCCATACCTATTATGATTAATTGATTACTACAAGAGTGGTAAATCCGCTCAATGGGTAAAGAATTCTCCAAAAAACCATAATAACATCGTGCTTATCAGTTGAATTTCTACATGCAGAATAATGAAGTTATAAAGTATGCAAATTAACTCAAATTGAATCAATATAAATGTCAGACTTAAGAACATAAAGCTTCTAGAAGAAACTTAAGAACAAAACTCTTAGAAGAAAACGTAGCGATGATGCTTCATGAGCTAATCTTTGACATTGAATTCTTAGAGCTGTTGCCTAAAGCATGAGCATCAAAAGACAAGATAGATATAAAAACCTTTGTGCATTAAGGGACTTTATCAATAAAATAAGGAGACAACTACATATTGAGAGACATTTTCTTTGTATGTGGAAAATATTGGATAAAGGTTTTATATCCAGAATTTAGAAAAAACAACACATTAGCAACAAAAAAAAAACCAGTCCCTTCCCCCACCAAAATTGGGCAAAGACATACCATGGCCAACAAACAACAAGATGCTCAGTGTCATTAGTCATTAGGGAAATGCAGATCAAAACCACAATGAGAGACCACATCACCCCCACTAGAATGACTGTGATGGTAAAAACGAAAACAACAGGTGCTGCCGAGGATGTGGAGAAATTCAATCTTTTCTCCATTGTTGGCAGATGTGTTAGTCCAGGTTGCCTAGAGAAAGAAATCCAGAGACACGTATGTGTAAGAAAGAGCTTTGTATCAAGGAGTAAATAGATATCAAGAAAACATTCCAGCCCAGTCCAACTCAAGTCCACCAGTCCGATACTATTCCATAAGTCCCTGTTCATACTCATGCAGCCACATGCAATGATGCAGAATGCTGGGAGATCACAGGCTGCTGCTGGTGGGTGCAGAGGTGTGTGGATCCAATGGTGGTGGAAGCATCCTAAGGCTTCGGCAGGTCTCTGCTGTGTGGCTCGCCCAAAGGAAGGTGAAGCAGAGAGAGTGTGGCCCACCTCCAGGGAGGAGGAGGAAGAGGCCAACCTCAGAGAGCCATTTATCTGCACAGTTCTCTAATCAAGTTGCAGCCTGACTGACAGTCTGAACTCTGCCCACATGTTCCTTAATGCTTCCTTCCCCCCACTATCATGATCCCAATTCTGCCTTGCAAATCTGGCTAGACCAGAGCATGTACATTGGTACAGATAGCAACTGGAAACCCGGGGAACCCAGGATAGATGACTTCTTCAGGACCAGCGGTGAGAGGGGCAGGGGTGAGGCCTGGAGGGTGAAGGGAATGCGGGGTAGAAGGGGGAACCAATTACAAGAATCTAAGTATAGCCTCCTCCCTGGGGAATAGACAGCAGAGAAGAGGGCGGAGGGAGGCGTCGGACAGGGTAACTTATGACAAATCTGTAATAATTTATGAATTATGAAGGGTTCAGGAGGGAGGGGGAAGGGAGAGGGAAAACGAGCAAACGATATTGAGGGCTAAAGTGGAGGGCAAATGTTTTGAGATTGATGAGGGCAACAGGTGTACATAGGTGCTTGACTCAATGGATGTATGTATGGACTGATAAATGTATGAGCCCTCAATAAAATAATTTTAAAAAAAGAATAATGAGGGTAACAAATGTACAAATGTGCTTTATACAATTGATGTATGTATGGATTGTGATGAGTTGTATGAGCCCCCAATTAAAAAAAATTTTTTTTTAAAGTTAGATACCATAGTTCTTCGAGGAGATGACTATATTAGTAAATAATTAGAAGTTAGTTTCTGCATATTACTAATTCCACTCTGCAAATCCTTTTAGGATGACGTACGGCATAAGGTCCATCTCAACACCTTTGGATTCTTCAAGGATGGGTGCATGGTGGTTAATGTCACCAGCCTCTCAGTCCATGCGTCAGAAGGCGCCCCAGACAAGGATGCTACTGTAAGTATCTTCTCATGAGGTTGATCCACAGTCTTCTCAGACCAGAGACCACAAAGCTATACAATTAACGAGCTGGAGGATGTTAGCCTTTCTCTAGACGGAGTGAAATTTTACCCTCTCTGCTTTAAAGTATCTGAATGTGGAGAAAATTCACTTGTGAATTTATTAGGTTTATCAGGTAGTTAGTTTTACCTTTAACACTTGCTGTAATTATCAAGTAATTCTAGTAATTAGTGATTTTACTTGAAGTGGAATTGCCTTTTTAATTCCTTTTTCTGTTTTCTGAGCTAGAAAGATGTGGCTGCCAAGGCAGTGTGTGCCTAATCGCCTCTACTCTTCTTCTTCCCCCTTAGATTGGGTTCAGCGTAGACCGTACAAAGAATGATGGGTTTTCTTCTTATCTGGTAAGTATTATGCGCTCTTTGGTGTAGCTCGAGAGACTGAGTGGCAAGAACTCACTTCTTTTGAGCACATGCAGCTTTATTCGCTGTGTGAGGCGGAGATTGTACCACTACTTGCCTCACTGCTAAAAAGTCTTGGTACCTGCTCTAGTGCTCATGAATAAGGTGATGAACAGTGGGTTCTTCTCTTCTCAGGATGAAGATATCAATTACTGTATTTTAAAGAAACAGTCTGTTTCTGTCACCCTCCTAATCGTAGACTTCGCCAGAAGTGAGTAAGTACTCTTAATGTTCTTCCAGTTTAATCCTGGAGTAAATTTAAGGGGAATGGAATACCTGAGTTAACTTTTGTTAAGTGTCTGCCGTGCGCCAAGTACTGTGCTGAGTGCTGAGATTAAAAACACGATGAGGGAGACAGAGCTCCTCCCCTAGAGAAGCTTCCGAATTGGCTGGGGAGACAGAGTACGGTGTACATGATGGAAGCACAGTAGAGAAGTGGTAGGAAAGAAGCACCAATTAACTTAAGCACCCAGGTAGCCTTTGAATGAACAGGCTTTCTCAGACAGGGAAGAACGTTCCAGTAAGAAAGACCAGTATACACAAAGGCAGGATGGCATGAAATAGCATAGTGTTTTAATAAAGAGAATTAATTTTTGGAGAGAAGTATGGTAAGACACAAACTGAGTCCAAATACTGGGATAGTCATGTATGCTAGTCTGAGGACCTGTGAGGTTTTTTTAGTAATTTGGGAACCTGATGGCCTTAACCTGGTGCTGGCCCTCAGCTTTAGCATGGTGATTAAGCGTATAGGCTGGGCTCTAAGCCGAGTTTGAAAACTGCTTCTGCTATTTACCAGTTGTATGACTGGGCCTTCAGGGTCCCTGCCTACTTCATAATAATGATACTTAACTCATAAGCTCTCATGGTGCAGTGGGTTACGCATTGGGCTACTAACTGCAAGGTCAGTTTAAAGCCACCTGCCACTCGATGGGAGAAAGATGAGGTTTTCTACTCCCACAAAGATTTATAGTCTTATAAATCTCAAGGGGGCAGTTCTACCCTATCCTATAGGTTTGTTATGGGTCAGAATTGACTCAGTGGCTGTGAATTTGGTTTTTGACCTCATACGATTATTGTGAGGATTTTAAGACATGTGAACTCAGATGTCTGATGGAGGATTTTGTGTTTTCAAGTTCAGCATGTTTCCATATGACCACTTTACAAGTTCCCTGTGTTTGGGGCGCTCTCGAAGGGTCTTGAACTAGGGATGGCATGCTCAGATTTGTTCTTAAAGTAGACTGCTAACAGCCCAGGACAGAATGAACTTCACATGAGTAAGATGAGAGGCGGGAAGACTAATTAGGAAGCTTCTTTTAAAAAAACAAAACAAGTTTTGCCACAAAATTGTTATTATTGTAAATATTTTTCCATGGTAACCTCTGTTTTCATTCACAAAGATTATTCTGTCAGTCTCTGTATTAGTTAGAATGCTTTTGATAGCAGCTAAGTAAGATTTGACGGAAACTGGCGTAAATGGTGAAGACATTGATTCTCTTAGTACTGAAAGGCCAGAGTTGAGGCAGGTGGGTTTGGGGTGAGAGAGAAATCAGCAGGTTTTTTGTTTCATTTCTCCCTTCTATTTTATTTCACTGTAGACTAAAGATAAAATCACCACCAGAAGCTGGTACCCAGTTTCCAGAGATCATCTTCAGTAAGGATGAGAGAGCTCGTGGTCAGAGCCAGGAGCCGGGTGGTGACCCTGTTTCAACAGGCAACCAGACTCAGAAACATCCAGGTAAGCTGTAAGGTTGAAGCAACCTCTTTTTCACTGTTCTGCTTTGTAGATCCTTTTTTGTTACTAAGTAAAAACATACTTAATTCACCTAGTGTTATTTTATTTTGGAGATTATGGAAGAAATATATATAATCACTGAAAAAGAATGGAAAAGGAGGAAAAATAAGAACAGTCTTCCTAGTCAGTGTGTTAGAGTTTTGACAATTAATGCTTTCTTCTGATCTTGTATCTGAGTTCTAGAGCATTTGCTTTTTAAAATTCATAGTTGTATATGAGGGGGTGCCCATCTCCAGAAAAAAAAAAAAAAGGAATTTTTTTCCAAAGCTATGTATTTAAATTTTTTTACAAAACAACCTTATCACTTTTTTAAAAAAAAATCATTTTATTGGGGGCTCATACAACCCTTTATCACAATCCATACATCCATCCATGTGTTGAGCACATTTGTACATTTGTTGCCATCATCATTCTCAAAACATTTGCTTTCTACTTAAGCCCTTGGTATCAGCTCTTCATTTTTTCCCCTCCCCCCTCAGAACCTTTGATAATTTATAAATTATTATTATTTCTCATGTCTTACACTGTTCAATGTCTCCCTTCACCCACTTTTCTGTTGTCCTTTCCCCAGGGAGGAGGTTATATGTAGATCATTGATCGGTTACCCCTTTCTCCCACACCTTCCCCTTACTCTCCTGGTATCTCTTCTCTCATTATTGGTCCTGAGGGGTTTATCTGCCCTGGATTCCCTGTGTTTCCAGTTCTGATCTGTACCAGTGTACATCCTCTGGTCTAGCCCGATTTGTAAGGTAGAATTGGGATCATGATAGTGGGGAGAGGAACTAGAGGAAAGTTGTATATTTCATTGGTGTTACACTGTATCCTGACTGGCTCTTCTCCTCCCCAAGACCCTTCTGTAAGGGGATGTCCAATTGCCTACAGATGGACTTTGGGTCTCCATTCCGCACTCCCCCTCATTCACAATGATAGGATTTTTTTGTTCTTTGATGCCTGATACCTGATCTTATTGACACCTCGTGATCACACTGGCTGGTGTGCTTCGTCCATGTGGACTTTGTTGCTTCTCGACTAGATGGCCGCTTTTTATCTTCAAGCCTTTAAGACCCTAGATGGTATATTTTTTGATAGCCGGGCACCATCAGCTTTCTTCACCAAATTTGCTTATGTACCCGCTCTGTCTTCAGCGATCGTGTCGGGAAGGTGAGCATCATGGGATACCAGCGTAATATAACAAAGTGTTCTTGCATTGAGGGAGTACTTGAGTAGACGCCCAATGTCCAGCTGCCACCTTAATACTAAACCTATAAATATATACATATATATCTATTTTCCCATCATCATATATAAATGTTTACATATGCACATGTCTGTATTTAGACTTCTATATATGCCCTTTGCCTCCTAGTTTTTTCCTCTATTTCCTTTTACTTTCCTCTTGTCCCACTATCGTTTCAGCCTTCATTTAGGTTTCAGTGATTCCTCTTAGTTACATTGCCCTTGATCAAGCCCTACCAGGCCTCCTACACCCTCCTCACCATCAATTGTGGATGACTTGTACCACTTCCTTTCCCCGCCTCCCCTTTTCCCATGTATTCTCAGAAACATCGGTCCTGTTGTTTTCTCCTCCGGATTGTTTATCCCGCCTATCTTATCTAGATAGACCTGCAGAGATAATAATATGCACAACAAAACAAGACAGAGCAAAACAAAGCAAAAAAAGAAAACCACAACAACAAATAAAGAGAAAAGCCTGTAAACAGTTCAAGGTTTGTTTGTTGACCTTTAGGAGTGTTTTCTGGTCCAATCTGATGGGGTGCCACGCCCTGGCCCCAAAGTCTATTTTTGGTATTCCCTGGGGACTTTGTTGCTCTGTTCCCCTTACTGTTCTGTTGCACACCCTTAGTGTTTCGCCTCAGTGTGGTGGGGTCAGATCGGGTGCAATTCCCGCACTCCCAGTGTTGTCCCCCATAACGATATGGGTCTGCGAGGGACGTTGTAGGGCTGGCCCTATGGTCCTCTCTGAGCGGGAATATCGTCCTCAGGGCTTGGTGGGCCACTATGTGTTCCACGCTCTCTTCCTCTCACTTCATTTGCTCCTGTGTGCTCTGATCAGACACATCTCCCTCTTCCTGAGAGCTGTAGCTTCAGTGCTGTCCTCTGAAGTGACTTCTTCTGAGAAGAGGCAGGGCTGTCCACGGAGCTGAGATCCCTGCTTCATGCCAGTATGTTGCATTCACATCTTGGAGCACCGGGTTGAAGTGTGGTCCCTCTTTCCCGGTGGAGATATAAACAATACCCTCCCCTTGGTGGGTCAGTGCCCTGTTTCACCACTACCTATGTTTCTCCCCCCACCCCCCACCTTTTTAGTTGGCTACCAGACCTGGGTTTGGTCTGGCCCCGGCCAAACTACCTGGACCTCACCCCAGGAATGTTTGTATACAGTAGCTTTTCCCCTGTGCTCCTTTTGCATTTTTAAGCTTACATGTGTCAAGTCTGTGATTCTATTCTTGGAGCATTTTTCAAACTCATCTGTTTGAATGGCTGACAGCACCTCCCTCGTTTTTTCTTCTTCACTGTCTCGATGCCCTTTCATGTCCTTCTTCATTCACTGAAACAAAAGGAAGTTGCTAGGAGTGAGATCAGGTGAGTAGGGTGTGGTGGGCAAGAGAAGCATGTTGGTTTTGGCCCCAAACTGGAGCGCTGAGATGGCTGTGTGAGCAGGTGCATTGTTGTGGTGGCAAAACCAGTCCCTTGTTTCCCAAGGGTGGCAAAACCAGGCCCTTTGTGTCACACACTGTTATGCTTCCTTTTCAGAACCTCTAAATACAAAGCTTGATTAACAGTCTGACCTGGTGGAACAAACTCCAAATGCACTGCGAGTCCACGTTTTCATTTCTTTGTTCTGGAAATTGATGGATGTCCAGAGCGTTTGTCATCAGTTGACCTTCCGCCTTCATTGAAATGAGAAAACCACTCACTACAATTGGGCTTTTCCCATAGTGCTGTCCTTGTAAGCTGTGTTCAACGTCACAGCATTTTTCTTGATCAGGAAACAATTCCACAGCTGAATGCTATTCTCTTAAATCATCCATCACTAAAAAACAAAAACAAACGATGTTTGAGTGAAATTGCTTTTACGGAAAAAGTCACTGTGTGACCAGAGAGAACTTCCCAGGCAGTGCTTCTGGGTGCACTAACTCAGAATGAGTTGCTCAGTGCTCACCTAGCTGGAAAATATACATGCTACAAAAATTCCGTTCCACCCAGTGCTCTTCTGGGGTTTTTTTGAGGGGTACCTCCTAGTATATAAATTTATAAATATCCTTCTTCACTTACCTTCAACATATTTTGTACCTGTATAATAGCCCACTAAATGGATGCCATCCTTAAGGAGTTATATTTAATTTTTATGCAATTTTGAATATTGTGGTGTTTCACTTATTTATACGAAGACTTTTTAATGTGTATATAACTCTCTTTAGGGGGGTTGCTAGAATTGTAATTTCTGATTCAAAGGCTATAAGCATGATTGAGAATCTTGATACACATTTCATATTCAGTCTTCCCCATGAAGAGTCTCTAAAGTCAGAATAAAGCAGGAACAAAGTTCCTTCCATTAGCAATCTCGACAGACCCTGTTCTCTCTCTCTCTCTCTCTCTCTCTCTCTCTCAGAATGAATTTGTCTAGTAATATTTGCTATGAAGTTTTCCACTTATGTAAACAAGTATCATGCATTACAATTTTTAAAAACAATTCTCTGTTTCAAACATAATTTCTTAGCAAATGTGTCTATCTATATACGATAGGCAGGATAAATAATCCCAAGGAGAAAACAACGGTACTAGCGGTCCTGGGGTGACATGGGAGAGGATGGAGCAGGGAGGGGGAGCGGAGAGCCAACAAACTCAGGGATGAGGGAACAACAAGAGATCTGAAAATGATGGGGTTTGATCAAGTGCAATGTATCCAAGAAGAATTACTGAGAGCTGAGTAGAAGGTGAGCATGATAGTGGGACAGGAGGAAGGTGAAAGGAAATAGAGGAAAGAAGTATGAAGCAACTATTTATAGAGGTATAGCTATGGGCATGTATATACAGTGAACCCTCGTTTATCGCGGTTAATGGGTTCTAGACCCCACCGTGATAAATGAAATCCCGCGAAGTAGGATTCCTTATTTGTAAATCAAATATTTTCGTAGTTAGAGCATAGAGGACATGAAAAAACACCCTTTAGTCACCATTACACTCGTATTACCCAATTTATTAAACGAAAAAGGGAAAATACAGTAAAACATTTTGGACGTTACAATTATCATTTATTATTTATGACATCAAGCGTGTACAGTATGAGCCAATCAGTGGCAGTAATGACAGAGCATGCGCTGTTACGCAAAAACCGCGATAGAGTGAAGCCGTGGAAGTCGAAGCGCGAAGTGGCGAGGGTTCACTGTATATAAATATATTAATTTATAATGAAAGGGATAGAGGCCAAAGTACATTCATTTATCTGTTAAACATTAAGATAACAGACGGACTTTGGGCCTCTAATCAAGGCCTCCCTAAACACAAGAACACTTTGTTCTAATAACCTAGCACTCTTTGTTACTTCCCAACACGATCGCTGAAGACAAAATGGGTGCATAAGCAAATGTGAAGAAAGTGGGTGGTTCCTGGCTATCAAAAGATATTAGTGTCTGGGGTCTTAAAGGCTTGAAGTTAAACAAGCAGCCATCTAGCAGGGAAGCAATAAGCCTACATGGAAGAAGCACACCAGCCACTGTGATCATGAGGTATCGACAGGATTAGGTATTAGGTATCAAAAGATCCATAACAAAAAATTATATCAATGTGAAAGAAGGGAGTCGGAGTGGAGACCCAAAGCCCATCTGTAGACAATTGGACATCCCCCACAGAAGGGTTGAAAGGAAGGATGACTCAACCAGGGTGCAGTATAGCACTTACGAAACACACATCATTCCTCTAGTTCCTCAGTGTTTCCTTCCCCACTACCATGACCCAGTTCTACCTTACAAATCCAGCTAGACCAGAGTACACACCTTGGTACAGATAAGAGCTCGGACACATGGAATTCAGGACAGCTAAAACCCTCAGGAGCATTGGTTGGAGTAGCAGTATCATGAGGGTAGAGGGATGGTGAGTGGGTGGGCAGGAGAAAGGGGAACCCATAACATGGTTGGAGATATAGCCCTCCCCACGGGAATGAATAACAGAAATGTGGGTGAAGGGAGACAATGGACAGTGTAAGACACGAAATAATAATACAGTAATATGTAATTGATCGAGGATTCACCAGGGTGGGAGGGGAAAAAAGAGCTGATGCCAAGGGCTCAAGTAGAACAAAAATGTTTTGGAAATGTTGATGGCAACATATGTACAAGTGTGCTTAATATAATTGAATGATGAATTTTCATAAGATTTATAAGAGACCCCGAATAAAATGATTAATAAAAAAAGAAAATAAGGAAAGGCACATCATGTGACATCTCTGGTAAGCTGTACATGAGAGTATTCTGAAATGTGTCTCCTTATTAGTACTAACCACTCATTTATTTAATAGTATTTCTCATAGGAGCCCTGGTGGTGTAGTGGTTACATGTTAGTCGGCAGTTCGAAACCACCAGCAGCTCCAAGGCAGAAAGATGAGGTTTTTTATTCCTGTAAAGAGTTGTAACCTTGGCAACTCGCAGCTCACAGGGGCAGTTCTGCCCTGACCTGTCGGGTCGCAGTGAGTTGGAATCAACTTGATGGCAGTGAGGTTTTTGTGTTTCTTGTTTTCAGTTTTTTGTATTTTTCATTAACAAATTCTGACATGACATGGCTGTGGCTGAAGAACTCTATTTCAGGACATGAGAAGATGGTTATCAAGATAGATTATAACCTCACCTTTTGTATTTTGTTGTTTTGATTGTGTGATATTAGAGACTCATAAAATTATATTGTCATATGTATATAAGCAGAATCAAGCAATAATGCCATTTAAATGTTTCTGTTTCTAGACAGTAGAAAGTCTAAAAGAAGTACAATAAAATCAAAGGTAAGAACTCACTACCTACCTGTGCCCAGCTTTTCTGGGAATACAAAGAGACTTTAAAAAGTCTGTGGTAAAATGCCATTAGCTTTTCATTCTATTTTTCCATGAACCTTTTGAAGCCCCTTTATATGTGTGTGTATATGTGTGTTTATTCATATGTTTATGTGCATTCATATATTTGTATGTGTATATGCATGCATACACGTACATATACGTACATGTATGTTCTCGGTCTACAGGGAGTTGTCTGCTGCTTTGGGAGATAAAGTGGATACACCTGAACAATTTCAAAGTGAACTTGAGTGCTAAATTGTCCAGCACTTCTGGGGTAGGGAGGGGAGGGACGCAGAGTGTTCTCAAGGGCCCTCTAGGAGGGGGCTTCACCAGCAGTGAGCATGGAGTCCAGTGGATTTGTTTGTGGAAGAGCAGAAAAGAGATGAAGAAGGTCATACGAAAGAACAGAAGGTGGGAATGAACATACAAGTGCTGGGCATTGGCCTGTTGGAAGTCAAAGACATGTATTTCTAAGTAGAGAGGTAGAGATCTTAGATAACACAGGGCCAAGCAATAGAATGTCTTACCATACGCAACCCAAACCCACTGCCATTGAGCTGATTTCCACGGAGGCTCTGGATCTTTGCAGTAATAGATCTAGACAGCTTGTCATCTTTTGCTCTTAGAAAAGCTGCTGGGTTTGAACCACTGACCTTGTGGCTAGCAGTCTCATGCCTTCCTGGCAGCACCACCAGAGCTCCTTTGAATGTCTTAGAGTGTAGGTAATAGGAAGTTACTGTGAACTATTGATCAGTAATTAATGTGATGCAAATGGCATTTTGTGAAGATCATTGTTCTGAAAGTAATGTTCAGGGTAGAAGATTAGAAAGGAACAGAGTGAAATTAGACCCGTCAGTAAGGCCACGTGATCTTACAGGTGTAGGTGATGTGCATCTGGATTAGAGTACAACCTTGTTATTTAAAATACGGATCCGTCTGGGAGACTGATTCAGGGAGTGGAGCAGTTAGGGAATAGGTGGATTTCTTGGTGGGGTACTGGGTGCTGGGGTGATAGAAATAGCACAAGAAGAAAATCTGAGGTTTTGGTTGGGATATTTTGATATTTCAGTGAGGGACATCCAAAGGCAGTGTTTTTTTAATTTTATTTTGCTTTGTTTTGAAACCACCATTGAGGTATAATTGACATGTAAACTACAAGTTATGAAAACAACAATCATTTATCAAGGGGTCATGGGGGTGGGGAGTAGGGAGCTGATACCAAGTGCTCAAATAGTAAATGTTTTTAAAATGTTGATGGCCACATGTGTACAAATATGCTTGATACAGTTGTTGTAGGGAATGATTTAAGAGCTGTAAGAGCCCCCATTGAAATGATTTTTTTTAAAAGGTTACTGGGAAACTTCCATTACCTTTGATTTCTTTTCCCATGACCTTTTTGAAGCTCTTTGGTATGCATACTCTTTTTTTCATCTTTCATTCTGCGTAATTAATTTGAGATTCATCAAGATTATTGCTTATGTCAATAGTCCATTCCTTTTCATTGCTTAGTATTATTCCACTGTACAAATGGTAGTGGTTTTGATTAGAAATGTTGTTCAGGTGATGTATCAGAGTGTAATTTGGGCCAGTTTCTTTAGTTTACATCCAGAGCCATACCATGAAGATATTGCAGGTTTGATTCCAGACCCCTGCAATAAAATGAGTATCACAGTGAAATGAGGCACACATATTTTGGTTTCCCAGCACATATAAAAGCTATGTCCACACTATAGTGTAGTCTACCGGATGTGCAATAGCAGTATGAAAAAGTTTGAAATATTTTGAGATTTACCAAAATGGGACACACAGACACAAAAGCTGTTGGCACAGAACCTCAAGTTGTTGTGAAAATGGTGTCACAAACTTCCAATTTGTAAAAAATATCTACAAAGTGTAGTAAAGTGAAATGCAATAAAATAAGGTGTACCTGTACTCGCAGCTTTTAGGGTTGGTAAGCACTCCAGCAAGCAGATTGCGTGGGGAAGGAGAGGGCAGGGAAGGATGGAGGGAGGGAGGGAGCGAGATAGAGAGAGAGAGAGAGAGAGCGAGAGAGAGACTGCTTAGAAAGAGAAATACATGGAAGAAGTGTAAAAAGGAACTTCAAGCGTCTTATCAAAGCTAGTGAATTTTATTTTCAGAGTTTCGAAGGTTCGATAATTTAGAGTACAGTAAGAAGGTGGGCTTAAGTTGTTTTGTTTTGTTTTGTTTTTAATTGTTTTTATCTGCCAATATCATCTGAAAAGCAGTTATGTTTTTTAGGCAATGAGAGAGAAATCCTTTTCTGTTCACAATAATGATGGAGCAGTTTCATTTCAGGTATGTTTTCTCTTAGTAAAGCTTCATAGAGTTTATTTACCTCTACCATGTAAAATAATTAATTGGTTAAGGACATTTGAATTTAAAAATAATAATTTAAACATGCTACTTGTTGGTCATATGTTACTCTCTATAACAAATCTGTCAAGTAGCTGTTATTACGCCCAGCATCACATCAAGTCTCTGAGCGTGAATAACTTTATGACTGCCCATAGTAAGTGACACAGCCCAGATCCCACGTGTTGCTTCCTGTCTGCTTCTGCAACGCCTTTGCCTTTCAGACACTGCGCTGCAGCCCCTCAGAGGGCACCACTACAGGCGGAGACAATTCTAAACTGGCAAGGACTGTTGACTGAGTGGACCCATAATTCAGAGACTCGGGTCTCTAGTTAACCCAGTCCTCCTAGCTATCAGTAGCACTCAGCATGCATAGGGGAACTGGGCATCAGGTTGGGTCTCAGAACCCACTTAATAGCTAGCCGACGTTGGACAACTCACTTCCAGGCCTCACCATTATTTTGTCCTTGATGAAGTGGTGTGTGGGACACGTGTAACCTTTTCTGGCTACACACAGGACAACCCAACCCCATCTACCCAGAGATGATTTCTATGAGCAGACGTCAGACTGCCTCTGCCCTCCATTTTTCCTCTATTCTGATGCCAACCCTACCTCCCATGGCGCTCTGCTGGGCCGCATAAACTCACAGACAGCACTCACGATTAGGGAGTTCATTAGGGACGTTAACAAGTTATCACAAATCGAGATCAGAAAACATTAAGGATACAGTCATCTTGTACTCAATAGTACCTCTTCTCAGCCATGCTGGCAGGCTCTTCTCTTTCTGATCCTCTCACTCTCTGTGGTCCTCAGTCTCAGCCACATGGGCCCTGGGCCTCTGTCCTGCTTGGGGAAGTGTTACAAAGCTCTGTTAGTACTGAGACGTGCCCAGAGGGCATCCCATTCTGTAAATTATCTCCCGCTTTGAGGCACTCAGCTTTTTTGTCCTGTGGGCCTGGAAGCACACCACTCTGCCTCCTTGCTCCACCTCGCAGCCTCAGAGCTGTTGCCCTGCTGTGTCTCGTGGAGCCAGCGAGACAGAGGCTGTGCCTTTGCTGCCTCCACCACTTCAGACAGGGATTTTGCACATGCTCTGCTGGATCTTTCTTGATGGTTCTGGGATTCTCTCCTTTGCTTCTGAGATGGCTTACTTTTATACCCAGCAGAAGGGCAAAACTGCTAGAGTTCTTTACACTCTTTCTGCATGGATGGGAGTCACAAAGACTGGATAGAAGAGCCATACCAAGTACTTCACTGCAGTTGTCTAAAATGAAGACAATGATACTTCCAGCATTGTTTAAAGAATGGTATCCGTGTGTGTGAGTGCTCTGTAAAGCACTGTACAAATGTTTTTTAATGATAAAGAATGATTGCCTCTTTTCTCATCAATTGTTACTACGGAAAGTATGATTAGCTTAAGTGAACTGCTTAGTTATACAGCTCAGTCATGTTGACAAATGCATGCACTCATGCATGTCACCCCTCTCAAGGAAGAGAACCTTTTATTGCCTCTCTGTGATCATGGCTCAAATTTTCTGACCTTAGGGTGTTTTATGTGTCTGGCAGTTTTTGTATGTTCTTTAAGTTTAGAAGCTCCTTTTCATCACCATCGGTGATTAATAGCTAACAGTTCATGAGTGCTTGCATGGTGCTCTTCTCCTCAGAAATTTCCAGTAGCTTCCCATCTGCCTCAGAGTCAAAACTAAAGTCCTGTCAATGGTATGCGTGGCCTCATGTCATCTGGCCCCGTCTCTGACCTCATCTCCTGTTGTCATGCCCTTTGCCACACAGGCCAAAGCACTGTTCTTCTAGAGCAGTGGTTCTCAACCTTGCTTGTGCCGCCACCCTTTCATACAGTTCCTCATGTGGTGGGGACCCCCAACCATAACATTATTTTTGTTGGTACTTCATCACTGTCATTTTGCTACGGCTATGAATCAGGCGATCCCTGTGAAACAGTTGTTTGACCTCCAAAGGGTCCGCGACCCACAGGTTGAGAACCGCTGTTCTATCTGATCTGGCCCTCACTTCTACTCTAGCCAGACCTTCTGTGTAGAATGTTCTTCCCTCAGAACCCACACGACTAATTCCTTATTTCCTTCCAGTTTTTGTCACCTTCTCTGGGTATCCCTGTTGTGAATATAACCTTCTCTCTCCCCCCTTTTCCGTTTTTTTTTTCCCCCCTTCTTTAGAAGCACCTGTCCCTTCTAATGTGCTCTACATTGAATTTACTATTATACTGGTTTATCGTTTGTCTCCCTCTCTAAAAGGTAGCTATCTATAAGGGCAGGGATTTTAATGTGTTTTATTTCTGTTGTGTAAGAGCCAACCTCCTAAACTTGGATCTGATCTATAGGCATATTTTGATCAATAATGATGGAGACCGATGAATACATGCCAGATACTGCATTAAGTACTTACATATGCATTAGGACAGTTCATCCTTCCAACACATCCATGAAGTTGGTGCTGTTATTATTCCTTTTTTATAGACAAGGAAACTGAGGCTCAGAGAGTAACTTGCCTAAGGGGAAGAATTCAACCTCCAGGTTTGACTCCAAGGCCCATGTGTTTAACAAGTTTATTTACAGCTTCCTTGAGAAATACAAAAGACACTCTTCTTCTCCTCCTTTATTAGAAAATGCTTGTTAATTAAAGTTTTTGAATGATTCTTAGATTTTAATTTTTTAATAACAAAAGGAAAAGGTATAGATATTTGGCATTTATGACAGCTCTGCGTCAGCATGAGGGCCCGGGGGAAAGCAGCACGCTTGGTCATTAAGGGCATAAGCTGAAACGAGCGTGAAATAAACACGTAGAATAGGCTGTTGCTCTTCCTCTGGCTCTGCTCTGTCCTCGCTAGGAAGTCAGTAGGTGACTTGTGTTGGTTTTTCCTTGTCATTTTCAGTTTTTCTTCAACATCAGCACCGATGACCAGGAGGGCCTCTACAGTCTTTACTTCCATAAGTGCCTTGGAAACGAAGTGCGGTCCAGTGACAAGATTTCATTCAGCCTTGATGTGAGTACTGTATGATTGCTCCTGTTGGTGGTAGCCTGAGGACTTCGTCAGCAGTGTTACACACAAGATATTTCTTTCTTTTTATTATTATTAAAGGTTTTATTTAGGAAGTTAACAAATGTTAATGCCAGTGAGAAATACTCAAAGTAGTTTTTACCAGGACATGTTACAAAGTTTCAGATCTGCAAGACATTTCTGTGTATACATCGATTTTAAGGACACTTCAGAGAAAGAGAAAAATATGACCAGACTAAAGTCCGAGCCAGTGGGCTTTAGCAGATGATCATGAATACAGACATCCAAAGCAGTTTAGAATGTGTTGGCACTTTAACCTAGGCATTACAAAACGTGGTTATGATCTGTTAGACTCACGTGCTTACCTTCAGTGGAACAGCTGAGATTTCAAATTGCTCAGTAAAAATGAATTTCATGTTGATTTCAGATTGAGATCACAGAGAAGAATCCTGACAGTTACCTCTCAGCAGGAGAAATTCCTCTCCCCAAATTATACATTTCAATGGCCCTTTTCTTCTTCCTTTCTGGAACCATCTGGATTCACATCCTTCGAAAACGACGGTAAATTATCACTTCCTTGAGACCTACATGTCAACATGTCTTGAGATTTATGTATTTTCACCTTTTGCTGCCTTCTGAACCTTGGGAGAATTAGCACTAGTAGACTCTCTTCCATCAAACGGCACTGTCCTGAAACACTGGGTACACTATATGGGGCAATTGTTGTGTGGGAGGCCTTTGCATTCCTTGGTATCTGTTCATTTACCATTGCTTTGTGTAAAAAGTAAATCCAAATTCACTCTTGCATCGCTTAATATCCAGGATATGTTCTCTGAAATAGGAAATTTATTTGAACATTATATGATTTCTATATCTTAGTCTGATCCTTCCTTATCGTTGAGCATCTCAAACAAGCTTTGCACCTACCCAGTTGATTGTCAACATCCTGAGAGCGATTCCCTTCTGAGTTTGGTCTTCAGTTCACATCGTTAGCAATTTCTCCCTGTCTCATCTAGGTTCTTTGTTTGTTTACCTTGCAGCTTTTGGTGGAGCCAGTTCTTCAGTAACTTAGAGATTTTTTCTTTGTTCTTGAGACTTATGATTGTTGAGTGTGACATACCTAAATTGTGAGCAATAGTGTTTTCTGATTTTTTGCATTCATGTTGTTAAATAGCCTTTTCTAGCTGCCAAGTTTATACTTGGAACTGTCTGTGTGCTGCTATCACTAGCACTGGTTTTTGCTGTGTTTGGGAGCCAATGTGCACTTCACTATTTTTGAAAATAAAATAAACAGATAGTCCTCCAACACTTGAGAAATGTAGGATACAGAAGATTGAATGCTATTGTCTATGAGTCAGAGCATACACTGTGGATGGCACATTTTTATATAGAAAGTACAGTGCATACATGCATAAGCCAGCAGGTAACATAGGGATTTATTATGGCTATTTTAGGTGATATATGTTCTGTGGCAGCTGGCAGCTCGGTTGCTTTGTACACAAAGTACATGAAGTCAATTGTGTGCAGCAAGCCATTGTATTCGCTATATCTCATTCTCTTATCATAATTTCTGTGTTGTGTTATCACCTTGTAGGACTGGAATCTTACCTGAATGGATGTTATTATGAGACATGGCTCACTTCAGTACTATGCAAGTAAAATAAGGGTATAAGCAAAGTGTTTCTACAGTGGAGATACTGCTATCCCAGACTCATTGAATGAGAGCACTGGGCCCATTCAGCCAGTGGCTGTTAATTCTAAAGAGATTAATGAAGAGGACCAGCTGCCTAGATGAGAGGGTAGAGTTGGTATTTAGTGACTGAAGGCAGCAGCTAAAAACTTGGCTGGGAGAATCTCCTTATTGACCTCTAGCTGCTTGCTGCTGAAGGAGACTTCTTCAGAGCCCATGTGCTTGGCTTTTGGCCTTCATTCTGAAACCCCTAAGGCTTTGACTTCCTGTATTTGGTTCTTAAGGAGAACAGCTGCATGGTGCATGGAGCTAATATCTCCCTCTCAAGAAAACATTCGTTCTCATAATAGAACAAAAGATATATTGTTAGACTATAAACCAGGTACATGATGGTATTGCAGTGTGGATTAATAGAATAATTTAGCCATCCCCCAACACCAAACAGCCACCACTTGTCTGCCAGTTTCTCATACAGGGGTGGCGTGCATGTTGCTTTGATGGTAGAAGCTATGTCTCTGGTATTTTAAATGCCAAGCAGAGTCACCCAAAGTGAACATGTTTCAGCAGAGCTTTCAGCTAAACAGACTGAAGAAGGAATCAAAAAACAAAAGTAGAAGGAATTAGCCGCTGGAAATCTTATTCATATTATCATACATTGTCAGATACTGAAGGCCTAATGAATAGAAGCAGAACACTGTCAGAGAGAGTGCCAGAAGGTAAGCCTCTCAGGTCAGCAGACACTCAAAATAAGACTGAGGAGGAGCACCGTCTCAAAGTAAAGTCTCCCATCATGACGTGAATGGAGTAAGACCGGTGGGATTAAAGCCTTTTGACTTGCATTTGCTGATGGGCACAACTCAAAACTAAAGAAACAGCTGCGAAAATCTAGTAATCAGAACTTGGAATGTATGATGCACGGATCCAGGAAAAATGGAAGTCATCAAAAATAAAATGGAATTCATAAAGATCAATATCGTAGGTGTTATTGAGCTGAAATGGACTGGTACTGGCCATTTTTAATCAGAAAATCATGTTTTACTGTGCCAGGAGTAACACAATCAAGAGGAAAATCATGTTTTACTGTGCCAGGAGTAACACAATCAAGAGGAATGGTGTGGCATTCTGGTCCAAAGGGACATTTCAAGTTCTGTCTTGCAAGGCAATCTGTTGAGTCTATCCATCTGTCTTCAAGGAAATCCAATCAATACAACCATTATTCAAATTCACAAACAAACCACTAAAGCTAGTGATAGAGAAATTGAAGGATTCTACCAATGTCTTCAGTCTGAAATTGATCAAATGTGCAATCAAGATGCATTTATAATCATTGGTGATTGGAAGGCAAAATTGGAAACAGAAAGGATCAATAGTTGGAAAGTATGTTCTTGGTAGAAATGAAACTGGAGATCACATGATAGAATTTTGCGAGACCAACATGTAGACTTCTCTAGGCAGAATTTATATAGAAATCAAATTGTGGGAAGAGATGATGGAGAAGCTCAAAACAGCAGATAAAACCAGGACAGGGACTGGCTGGAACAGACCAACAATTACTCATGTAAGTTCCTGTTGAAGCTGAAGAAAATGAAATCAAGTCCACAAAGGCTCACCTTAATTTTGAGAACATTTCAAGAACAGATTTGATGCATTGAACACTAAGGAACCGTGGGAGGACCTCAAGACCATCATTTATGAAGAAACCAAAAGGTCATTGTGTTAGTTTGAGTTGACTAGAGAAATTCATAAACTCTAATATGTGTATAAGAGAGAGCTTTATATCAAAGAGTAATTGTATATTAAGAAAACGTCCCAGCCCAGTCCAGATCAAGTCCGTAAGTCCGATATTAGACCATATGTCCGATACCAGTCTATAAATTTCTCTTCAGACTCATGCAGCACATGCAGGATCACAGGCCAGTGGGTGGAAAGTTGTGTATCCAGTGGCAGTGGAAGCATCTACGGCTGGCATGGGTCTCCACATGGCTCCTCCAGTTCCAGATCTCTGCCTCCATCTGCTTGGCTCCATGTGTCTTGTCAGCAGGAATGTGTATCAGGCCTCCAGTGAGTTATTTATCTCCTTCAAGCTTCCAAATGAGGTCATCAAGCTGTGACCTGATTGACAGGCTAGCCTCCACCCCTTTGCGAGTTGACAAGAGATTATTTAACTGCCACAGTTATTAAACAGGAAATAAAGGTGAAAGTCAGTGTCAGAAGAGTCTGAAATTTGTTCTTAATCATAGAGTAGCTAATGCAAATGGAAGAAATGGTCAAGTTAAACAGCTTAACAGAAAATTTCAAAGGGCAGTTTGAGAAGACAAAGTAAAATATGATGATGAAATATGCAAAGACCTGGAGTTAGAAAACCAAAAAGGAAGAAAACAGTCAGCAGATCTTAACTGAAAACACTCAAGAAAGAATTCATGCTTCAGGTTTGAAATATTGAAAGATTGTATAGGCAAAATATATAATGATGCAGGAAACTTCACAAGAACTAGTCCACATTCCACCATTCCAGGACGTAACAGATGAGCAAAATCAATGCTACTGAATGAAGAAGTCTAGGCTGCACTGAAAACAACCAAAAGGAAGGCTCCAGGAATTGATGGAATGTCAGCTGAAACGTTTCAACAAACTGATGAAACACTCGAAGCACTCACTCATCTATGCCAGGACATTTGGAAAACAGCTCCTTGCCAACTGACTGGAAGAAATCCATATTTGTACCCACTCCAAAGAAAGGTGACCCCCACAGAATGCTCAAATTGTACAGTTATATGAGTACTATCACACGGAAGTAAACTTTTGATGAAGATCGTCTAAAAATGGTTGCAGTATTATACTGATAGGGAACTGCCAGAGGTTCAGGCTGGATTCAGAAGAGGACTTGGAACAAGGGATATTCTAGCTGACCAAGGATGGATCTCGATTGAAAGCAGAGAATACCAGAAAGATGTTTACTTGTGTTTTATTGACTATTCAGAGGCATTCAGCTGTGTGGATCATAACAAACTATGGATTCCCTTGAGAATGGGAATTCCAGAACACTTCATTGTGCTCATGTAGAAACTGTACATGGATCAAGAGGTAGTTGTGGGAACAGAGCAAGGGAATACCACATGGTTTAAAATCAAGAAAGATGTATGTCTAAGTTGCAACCTCCTACTATACGTAGTTTGTATCTTGAGCCAGATAATCAGAGAAGCTGGATTATATGAAGCAGAATTTGGCATCAGGATCGGAGGAATGTTTATTAACAACCTGAGATACGCAGATGATATAACTTTGTTTGCTGAAAATAAGAACTTTAAGCATTTGCTAACAAAGATCAAAGATTGCAGCCTTCGCTGACGAAGACACAAATCCTCACAAGTGGACCAGCGGTAACGTCATAATGGAGAAAGGATGGAAGTTGTCAAGGGTTGCTTCTTGCCTGGCTCTATAACAAAGCTCATGGAAGCAGTAGCCAAGAGTTCCAACGATGCATTGCACTGGGTAAATCTGCTGCACAAGACTTCTTTAAAATGTTGAAGAGCAAGGATGTTACTTTGAGGACTAAGGTGCCCCTGACTCATGCCATGGTCTTTCCAGTTGCCCCATAGGCATGTGAAAGTTGGACATTGAATAAGGAAGATTGAAGAAGAATTGGTGGTTTGAATTATGGTGCTGGTGAAGAATATTCAAAGTCTCATGGACTGCCAATAGAACAAATAGTCTGTCTTGGAAGAAGTACAGCCAGAATGTTCCATAGAGGTGAGGAGGTCAAGACTTAGTTCTCGTGTACTTTGAAGATGTTTTCTGGAGAGACTAGTCCCAGGAGAATTACATCGTGCTTGGTAAAGTAGAAGGACAATGAGAAAGAGAAGGCCTTCAA